GAGTGCCTGGTCCGATCCCTGGCTGTGCTGATTGCAGCTTCCAGCCAATGCAGAGCCTGGGAGGCAGCTGTGATGGCTTCGGTCGTTGGGTTCTTGCCACCATGTGGGTGACCTGGATTGAGTTCCTGGCTGATGATTTGCTTTTGTTGCAAGTGTTGGGAGGTTGGGGGAAGGGAGCACCAGCAACTCTTTGACTACTTCCCTCTTCCCTTTCTGCCTCTCAAATTAGAAGAAAAATTCTATTTCAGTAACAAAAGGAAAGAAGTGGTAACTTTTTAAAATTCATGTAAATGTTGAACACATACACAGAGTGTTTGCAATGTGCTTTCAGAAACCAAACTGAACAGTAACATCAGTGATCATCTGTTGCACAGCTTGCTGTCTTTCCTCCGGTGAAATGGGAAGGAAAGAAAATCTTGTTCTCATCTGAACCCAGCTCCCAGACAGGAGAGGCTCCAGGAAGCATGAGTCAGCTAGTTATAGAACATGGCCAAAGGGATTTAGTAAGGTAGTTCTGACATTTGCTTCATTTTCCTAAAAGTCCACACTGCTTAGAAGACAAAGTTGATCCTGACTGTATACCTTTCTTGGTATCTGAGGGCAAAACACTGTCTCTCCTCCCAGTGTCAGAGTTTTCCTAACCTCATGCAAGGAAAGAGCCCATTGAAGCCCCAGCAAGGCTGTGCAGTCATGAACTGGGCAGCCCTCAGAATACCGTCCTCAAGGACTGTAGTTCTGTGCTGTGCCACATAGCCATTTGCAGAGAGACCCCTGCCAGAGACCACCAATGAATTCTGCCCCATGAAGAGCTATGTTTTGTACCCTCGTGAGGTTGGAGATGGAAATAAGGGGAATGGAGGTAATAAGATGTGCTAAAAAATGAGCATTAGTTCCTCTCAATGAACACTTCAGTTAATCATCAATAAGTTATCCTTGCTTTAACTTGGTCTTTTATCTTCCTTGAAAAAGAAAATGAGTTATCTTTTGAGATGATTCCTTTGTCAGAAGTGGCAGCTATTTTTAACATAGAAAAAAGAAAATAGGACAAGTTGAACTAAGCCATTCATATTTTTTTGTTCCTACAAATGCATAGTGAATTGACTTCATGTCAGAAATAAACTAAAGGAACTGCATTGTGGTGTGATGGGGTATGCCCCACTTCTGATCCTGCTCCCTGTTAGTGGTGTGAGAAGGCAGGGAAAGATGGACCAAATACTGAGGTCCAAGAAAAGCTCCTAGCTCCTGGTTTCAGCCTGGCCCAGCCCTGGCCATTGCACCCATCTGAGGAATGAACCAGAAAATGGAAGATCAGTCTCTATCTCTCTCTCTCTCTCTCTCTCTCCCCTTCTTTGTAACTTTTTTTAAATGAATCATACCCAGGTTACCCTTCCTTTTTTTTAATGCATATCCCCTTGTCTCACCCACCCCTCCCAGCATCTAATAATGACTATTCTGTGCTCATATAGAGGTTGGTTAGAGACTTTTCTTAGCTTTCCCTCCATCTTAGTTGTCTAGTGAAGTCTGAGTTTTGAGCATGGAGACTGATGCTAATTATGACTCAGAATCCTTAGAGTCAGAACCTTTAGGTGTCTCACCTCTGGCTGTCAGGAAGGAGGCTTCCATTTTTTGAGTTAGCAGCTGAAGCTACCGCAAGGCTTTATGTCTTGTGTAATGATCCCTCTCACTGGCTGGAAATTTCCATTCAGTGCCCATGGCTATACCACCTGTGTCTTCATCTTTACTCTAAAAGGCTGTTAGCTTCTTTGAAAGGCATCGGCAACAGAGGTGTTTGCTGAGACCAGACCACACATCCACAGGTTCTGCTTCCTGAGACTGGAGCTCCAGTGTGTCTGAAACCAGCAAGGAATAGGAGCACAGGCTGTTTGTTAACATTAAAAAAAAGCCATTAATGCTCTCCAACACCCCCACAGTGGGTGCCTAGCCCAGGGGCCACACTGGCTTTTTAGATCTCTGGCCCAGCATGCCCCTTCCTGACCCTGGGAAGCCCATGGCTCTGCTCTAGTCCTCTAGGCTTCCCTGCCCAGCCCGCACCCCGCACCCCACACCCCACACCCAGCCCTGGCTCTCACATAGGCAAGTGCAGTGGCCTGGCCTGGGAAGGCCAGTGTGTCACTCTGATTTTGAAATAAATAATGCTTTTTTTAAAAGAAGAAGAAAAAAATTATTGAAGAATGAGTCTTAAGTTCCTTCTATTTAAATCAATATATATGACTTCTTATTTTTTTATTCATTTATTTTTATTAGAAAGGCAGATATACAGAGAGGAGGAGAGACAGAAAGGAAGATCCTCCGTCTGATGGTTCACTCTCCAAGCGGCCACAATGGCTGGATCTGAGCCAATCCGAAGCCAGGAGCCAGGAGCTCCTCCAGGTCTCCCACGCAGGTGCAGGGTCCCAAGGCCCTGGGCCGTCCTCGACTGCCTTCCCAGGCCACAAGCAGGGAGCTGGATGGGAAGCAAGGCCGCTGGGATTAGAACCAGGGCCCATTGTTTATATACCCTTTGTTTTGATTTTGTGAAGGTTTATACATAATCCTTATTATGGATTCTGTATTATGAGAAAGTAATGGAGCAGACTAGCACAACTTGCTGATATACTGACCTTTTTATTTTAAATTTGTAATTATAAAATCTTGGAAAATCGAAAACAACTTTTCCAAATTTTAAGTTTGCCTTCCATCATGCAAGCACCTTCTCTGGTGCTGAATGAGTCAAAAATGGGAAGGAAGGCCCCAAGCTTGTCATTTTATTTGCAGGATTTTTCTATGCAATAGAAAAAAAAAGTTCCATTTGCTTCCCAAATGGTCAGGAGACTTCCAAACCATTTGGCCCGAGACAGTTGCAATAGGAAGGAATTCAATATAGGCTTAATTCCCTGAAGCAAGAAAACTCCAGCTGAGCCATAGTCTGGGGCTGAGTCTGCTCTCAACACCGAATCCCAGCGGTGGCAAGTCCAAAGCTGTGTGAGCAGAAGGCTCAAGGAGAGCAGCTGGGAGAAGAATGCCCAGAAAGAACAGAACAGAATAACTGTTCAGAGAGTATCACGTCTTCTCTGGACTCCTCCAGCCCTTAAGAAAACACATGAATAACTGTGGATGTGAAACAAAGCTAATTACAAATAACTCCATGCATGAAATGAGGAGAAAACTCGAGAATCACTTTTCTGCTCCAATATTCATGTGAGATGTCACATACTGAAATAGGGTTTTCTTTTCTTTTTTTTCTTTTAAATTTCATTTCACACCAGCACAGAGGAGATGGAGAGGAAAATTCTATTGCCAGAAAAATGCCAGGGTAGATTTGCTGAAGATGTTATCACACGCTGTATTTAAAACAAAAATTTAATTGCTGTAATTTATCACCCCCTCTAGTTATTAAAAACTTGCTAATTTAAAGATTTTAATCATTTGCCACTTTTTCACATAGAGGCTTTTCAGAGAAGATACCATGAAAATTTCTGATTTTCATCAGCCTTTGTACACCTTTTGGAGGTGCTCCTAAGCAGAATTAACATGTTTTAGACATGCAATTGTGTTTACATTAATACTGAGAAGTCTGTGTGTTTTTCTTTTAGTTTGTTCAGTGACATAGCAGGAATCACTGTATGATTGCTGAGGTTGAAGTGTGAGAGCCGGTGCAAGAGGCTGAATACCCTGTAACTCCCCAGGCAGGCATCTTGAGCACTGAAAAGTGGGGGGCACCCACCCTTCCTTTTGGTAGGGAAAGGATTCTTTCATGATCAGAGAAACCTGAGACATGATTCTACTGACTCTGGTGCGAATCTGCTCCTTGGTTCTGAGAAACCAGAGAGTCACTGAGTTAGGACTCCTCCTCCAAAAACGAACAGTAGGGTGGGTGTTGCTTGCACCTGTTAAGTCACCTCTTAGGATGCTTGCATCTTGTATCAGAGCTTTGTTTGACTCCTGACTGCTCTGTTTCCAATCCAGTTTTATGATAATGGCATCCTTGGAGAAAACAGATGATAGTTTGGCTCCTTGCCACCCACGTGGGAGACCTGGCTTCTTGCTTTTTTCCTGGCACAGCCCCTGGCTGTTGCCAGCAAATAAAAGATTCTCTCTCTCTCTCTCTCCCTCCCTCTATCTCTCTTCTCTCATCTGCCTCTCAAATAAATTGAAAATAAGTACTTTTTTACATTTTAAAGAAAATACCAAACATTTAACAAAGCTTTCTCTAGCTGACAGGAGATAGGTAAGGAGGTAAGGATTCATATAGTGCAGAAGAAAAAATCTACCCCAGGATAAAGGTGACTTCGTAGGGAGTAAGTGCAGCATCAGATAAGAAGGAAAGTGCGTGGAGGAGAGTAACCCATGCCGTAGACAGATGGGAGCAGGAGACCGTAGGGAAGTGCAGCCCTTCTCAGCAGACCTCGGGAGCTGCAGCCAGCATCTCCATATTGGGAGCAGCAGGATGATCGGTGGGACTGGTGTGCACTAAGAGCAAAGTCTGCTCTTACATCCCAGAGAATTCCTGGAAGGAACCCGGCAGTTTAATCCTTTGTGCATTTAGTAATGTAGCATTATTTCATAGCAAAAGAAAAATATATAGACATCTCTGCCCCAAGTCACAACTCTGTTGAAACCTACAACACTTTGATGGGGGTCAAAGAGTCAAGGTCAGGAATCCAGAGGGCCCGCCACCACCACCCAGGCCCTGTCTTTATTGAGATATTAAAGAACTGTGGCATCTGTGATGTTTCTGTGAAGTCTTCCCCTCTCACGAATCCAAAGCTGCTCCTTTGTTCCTCGGAATCACACACACACGCACACGCACACACATCCTTTTTGATGGAAAACTCAAGATCACATTGGTATGTTTCAGGTTACAGTACCAGGACCAGACCCCATGTCTCAGTGGCAGTTCATTCCTGTTGCACCTCTCTTCTGTTCCCTCTGCACCTGCTCTCGGGAAGGTGGCTTCCTGCTCTGTGTGCCCGGCGAGTAACCACGTGTCCGTTCTGCAGGTGCCAAGTTCCCCATCAAGTGGACGGCCCCCGAAGCAGCCCTGTATGGAAGGTTCACAATCAAGTCTGATGTCTGGTCCTTCGGAATCTTACTCACAGAGCTGGTCACCAAAGGGAGAGTGCCATACCCAGGTAAGAACAGAACTGTGGAAACGGGCCTCAGATGGGATGCTCTCTGACCCTCCCTGGGGAAACTGCACCCATATTCCCGACTGTCAGCCAGAGGAATGTAGCATTAAGGGGGCTGGAGGCAGACAAGCAGCCACCAGGGACATGTGCCTGGTTTGGTGTCATCCGAAGTCCACATGCATGCTCCTCAGTGCAAGGGCTCCCTCTGCTCTCATTAGGAGCCCATGTCTGTTACTCACAGGGCTGAAGCTTCCGCCCAAATGAAGCTTGCAGGCAATGTCTCTGAGAAAGAGAAGGAACAGCTCCCCGGCCCCACTCCCGCACCTCCTCCACTTTTTGATTACCCTGCAGCACTGACCCAAGGAGCCAGGCTGTCGGGAAGATGCCAGAAGCTGCTCTCTCTGCAGGCCCTGGCTCCAGATGGTCAGAGGAACCAAGAGGCACACTTGAGATGCACTAGAGAAAGCATTCCTTTCCTGTGGCTGGGCAGGCAAAGATGGGCAATAACAAAATAGGGAACAAGATAGTTACAGCCTGGAACTTTCCAGGACTATCAAGATTCTACACTCCCCAAAGAAACCCCAGGTTTAGGTTCTCTGTGCTTCAGTTCATTCTTTGAGCTGGATGAGAACGCAAAGGGCTCCAGCGCTGTTTCACCTGCACGCATTAGTGGTTACAGCGCAGGCAGGTGCTGCTCTTTGAAATGTTAAGGACATATTTTCCAGTTACTGCTGAGTGAAGGAAGAATACAGCTCCTCCTTATTCCCTGCCTAAAAAAAGGAGCTAGCTAGAAAGAAAGGGAAGGAAAAAAAAAAACCTTGATGGAAGCGATAGTGGAGATTAATGAGGAATTTAGAGCTCTTGCAAATCCTGGGCTTGTAATCATATCTGCAGTCAGAGGAGGCAGCAAGAGCAGATTAGTTTGTAATCCCTTTGTTCATTTTTTATGATTGTTTCTGGTCATCTTCAGGGAACACAGAGGCGCACATGTAAAGAGGAAGTCTTTCTGGGCTGCCACGGCCCCAGCACCCCTGGGAGTAGGGACTGGGAGAGGCAAAATTGACAGAATCCCTGGGCCCACAGTGCCAGCATAGGGTGTGGGCCGATGCAGGTGGAGGCAGCTTCGTTGGTGCCCCGCACCAGCTGCCGCTCCTGGCAGCACAGCAGGGAGGGGCTGGAGCATGGCACGGGTGTTTTTGATTTGCTTCTCCAGAGGGGAAAATGTGCTGGGCTCAGGCCGTGGCTCTGAGTTTTAAAGATGTGAAGCCACCTCATTTTTAAAATGTTTTTCATTGTCTACATTTTGAACTGATCTCTTCTCAGTCTCCCCTGGCCAAGTGTTGTGTTTATTGACATTCAGGGCGTGGTGGAGAGTTAAGGTTTTACATTTCTGAAGCTTCCACTTTCCAGGAATCCAAAGCTTCTTTGTTTCTACACTCACATGCATATACGTGCACATAGTTGCACATACGTAGATACAGAGATGCCTACACCTATGTGTGTGCATAAATAAGCACCTGTGCACACATATGCATATACACTGATACACGCATTAGCACATATACATGTGCACCATACACATATGTGCACATGCAGACATACACAAGAATACAAATACACAAACACATACATATGCACACATATACACAGATATACATGAATGCATACACACATACTCGTATATACACATATACCCACAAGCACACTCATACACAAATATATACATACACATACATGTACAAACATGCACAAACATATCTATATATACGTACACATGCACACAGAGGCCAAGACAAAGGGGTGGAGGCAGGGCCACAGGGAAGGAAGACACATATGTTTCGCTTTTAGCATGAAGAAACACAGTCTCACTTTACTACTTAGATAAGAGGGTTCCCTCATCCAGCATGGCTTCAAGGAGGGCCCACTGGGCCAGGCATTTGTCCTACCTGGGAAATGGTGCAGATAAGATGCCCATCCTCTCAGCAGACCTTGATGGATCCCTGCCACGGATAGGCAAGGCTCTGCCCCAGAGCCAAAGAGAGCAGTCAGCAAACATCCCTCCAGCAGCCCTGGTACTTACAGGCAGGGAAGATATCAACCAGCCTGATTTGGTGACTTATTTGGTATTGGAGGAGGTGACCCACTAGGGGTTTGATGATCTGAATTTACCCTCAGTGAACCCCAGCTCTTAGCACTGAGACAAGGGCCCATTGGAAGCACCTGCAGTGGGCACCCATATACAAGGGCATCAGGAAGCTAGCCGAGGAGTCTAACATAACTGCATCCAGGTGACAGCTGCTGGTATGTGGGGACTCTGAGCCTGGCCCAGCCCATAGTTCTGCAGGGGTGGTGGAGAACGAGCTGTGTGCCAGAGGTAGGGGGGAGGCCGGGAAAGCAGACCTTGGATGGTAAGCAGATGAAGGGGCGACGCAGAATCCCCAAAGCCTGGCAGGTGGGTGGCACCAAGACCTGGGAGGAGATCAGGGCTGATTCAAGGAGTAGTGGCAGGTGAGGCACCTGGGGGTGCAGCTGGAAAGGGGGACCTGGCCAGTCATGAGTAACCTGGTGGGAGTGGCGGCCGAGGAGAGAGTGCCGCAAGTTGCTCCTCACCCAAGAAAGCCATAGACAACTGTTTCCGGGCCTGTTCTCCCACAGGTGCATCGTGACTTGGTCTGTTAGCGCAGCTGTAGTCACGTTGAATGGGACTTCTGAATGTAAGAGTTCTCCTAGAGGAAGGAATGTTTACACAGTGGGTGCAGTCATGGGTTATTTACCCTAATGAAGGGTTAGAGCTGCAAAGAAATGTGTAGTGTCACCACGCCTCGTCCCACACATCTCTGCGAGAGGAAGGACCTCCCTCAACATTCTCGCTGCTTGTTGTGTGGCCATGTCAGTCAGTGTTCACTCCAAGGGGTCACGTCTCAGCTTTCCTGCACTCAGCCTGTGCCTGTGCATGCTAGCCTGGAACAGACCACCATCTCTGTCCATAATGACGTGCACTCTACTTTTTTGTTGTTGTTTTTATTTAATTATTTGAGAGGAAATGAGTCAGAGAAGTAACAGATAGGGAGACCTCCCATTTGCTTGTTCATTTCCCAAAAGCCCACAACTACCACAACTGAGCTGGCAGAAGCCGAGAGCTGAGAACTTAGTCTAGCTCTCCCACAGACGTGTGGGCCCCCAGTGACGTGAGCTAGCAACAGCTGCCTCCCTGCACCCACAAAGGCAGGAAGCTGGAGTCAGGAGCCCAAGCCACACATCAAGACCTAGGGGTCCGAACATGGGATGCCAGCATCTTAACCATGAGACTCAACTTGTCTGACCTACAGGTGATCATTTCTTGGTTGGCTGGAATGTGTTTCGAGCAATTCTTTTATGCAAGGATAGTAGAAGGTGGGAATATGTTTTGCTGTTCAGCATCTGACTTGGTGGCCTCCTGCCACCTTTGAATGCATAGGAACAGTACTTTGATGGGTGAGGATGAGGCAGGGAAGGAAGGCGTGGCCTAGAAGGGGTTTTTACCAAAGCGTCCAGCTATCATTGCCCAGAAACGGGCCGCTGAGAAAGAACTGAGAATGGAGTACATGAGCTGTGACCAAGGAAAAGGCAAGTGGATTAAGAGAGAATAAAACCTCGGATCGGTTGGTTAGTCAGCAAGTTTTGTGAGCAAAATAGATAAAATGAAAGGGAAAGGCAGTCTCAAGCTGGATGAGAGCCCTGAAACCACACGATAAATACTGGCTGAGGATGCCCAGGAGAGCAGGAAGGCAGGAGTGGCACCCCCTGACCACAGAAGGAAGGTTGCTTCCAAGGTTAGGACCAGGGGTAGACACAGTTCCAAAGACTGGCATCGCATTCCAGCTCCGGCAGCAGCCTGAGCTGGTACATTCTCAGTGTTATAGCCTAGCTTGCTCTTTCTGTACCTCGGGCTTTGGGTCACTTCTTGCCTCAAGATTAGAACTGGTGGGTTATTATATATATGAAATTAAAACACTGAAGTGAAAGCAGCTTTCTGAGTATGGTACATAGAATCATGACACTTGACCTTCAAAACCTCTCTCGACTTATTCTTCTTCTCTCTGCCTCTACCCCCACTGCTGGGTCAAGCTGTCACACATTTGTGTTGTGACCTTTCTGTGGGGCTTCCTGCATCCCATGCACGACCGCCATTCCCTGTCACTGTCACGTAGAATTACCATCCCAGAAAACAAACCAAGTGATCCCGGGCTTCTAGTTAAAAACACCAAGGCTTTCCCCTGCCTTCTAGATGTACACTCGAAGCTTTCATTTGGCATAGCCCTTCGCAAACCTTTCCTTTCAGTCTCTTCGCATATATTTACTGAGCTCTGTGTGTGCCAAGTACTTGTTCCAGTGTCCCATCCAGCAGGACAGTCAACGGGGGTCGCAACCACCTAGGAGAGAATGAAGGGGACAAGAGACATGAAGAATGGACAGCAAGACAGGATGTCTGATCAAGCTGTCAGTTTATTGATTTTAATTGAGGGTTTTTATATTCTCCAGTAACTAAGGCTCAGGGAGGAAAGGAGAAACTGGGATGCAACCATGGTCTCAAGACCGATTGTTCCTGAGCAGCTACCATATCAACAATAGTAACCAGCATATCGACAATAGCATAGGTAACCAGTAACAAGATGTCAGCAGGTACAGCATAAATCACATTCTGAAACAGTTGCTAGAAACAATTGAAGCTAAGTATGTGATTAGTTTCATAACTTCTTTCCCAAGCATCTAGCCAGCCGGGGATTTTCCACTGGCCCATAGTTCTATATTCAAAATGGCTTCAGTGTGGCTATAGTACATGGCTCCTGACATTCCAGGGCACCAGAAATAGAGCAGTAAACCAACAGATGAAAAGTCCTATCTTTTTGAGCTCCATTCTTCTTGAAGAAGGCAGACAATAAGCAAAGATAAAGAAATAAAATATGTTGGCAAGTGCTGATATAGAAGAAGATGAAACGGGGAAGGCAGACTGGGTATCAGGA